ATCTATAAGGCTGCGTGGAAGATCATTAAAAAGCTCAAATTCTTCTGCAGACAATGGCATCACTTTTCTTTAAGCAGATGTGACGCCACTGGAGATTGTCATAAAAGCGCCAGGGCTGATGCCTTAGAAGATGATGTGGCACCAGGTGCGAGGGTAACAATTTAAGGAGATTCTGGGAGGACAAGGGAGGGGACTGCGAGGTTCACCTTGCCAGAAATCTCAGGCTGACTTTCCAGAACTAACCTGGCTTTCTGGCCCCCCTCCCTGCAGGCATCAACACAGACAAAAGAAAGAAATCTCTGGAGAGGTGGTGGGGCCAAAGGAGATACAGATTGGCTAAGACGCGGCACATCCAAGCCTACTTGCTTTCTGTGTGGCTCTACATTTCCAGACCCTGGGCTTGCCCAGAATTCCAGCAGGGTGACTCCTAGCAGCTTCTCAGCACAGGGCTCGGATCCACCCCTCTGTAAGGGGATGGAGTGCAAGGTGGATCTCCTATCAGACGTGGAGTGGGTCCTGCCTCCTTTAACTGGCTCCCTCCACCTTAATACTGTCCCTCCTACCCCATGGAATCAGATGCCATGGGCTTTTTTGGGAGGGTTTCCTGTTTTAGCACTTTTTGGAGGAGGAAAGACCCAGAGGCTAAGAAGTCTTTGTTACTGTAGTGACTCGCCATGGCTTAAATTGGGGGGATGGGGTGCAAGTCCCAGTGGATAATGCTTTTTCTCCCACCTCCCCGCAGACCTCGCCCTGAAATGCCACTTTACATCAAGGCAACAGTCATCTCGCTTCTTATACGAAGGGACAGGGCTGTGTGGGAGGGGCCTCAGGGGTTGAGGAGGAGAAGCAGAAACTGGGGAGGGAGAGGTTGCCTTGAGAGCCCTCTCCTTGAGGGGTACTCCGTCTTCCATGCAGGCCCGAGTCACCTGTAAGAGTTCTGGAGGTGCTCTGACCGCACACCTGTGGGTGTTTCGCTTTATAATTATGCCTAGCTCCTGGGGCAATCCGGGGGCATCGCGATGAAAAATCGCGTAAATGGACGAGGCAGCTGTCAGCACCAGGTGGGAGCAGCTGAGGTCTTCTTCTGGGAAGTCATGTTTTTCTAAATCCCCTGGCAGCCTCTAAGGTTTAGGACCTCAGGCTTAGGCTTATTTCTACTCTTGCTCCGTGGAGATACCTACAGTTGGCCTCACTTCCAAAGGAAAACACATCTGTTTGAAAGCACATGACTCAGCTTGTCCCCTGCAAAACCTCCCCCATCCGATTGTCCTTTCCCTGAATCCTCGATGACATGAGGCTGTCAGGTCAGTGTCACTCAGAACCTCCAACATTCTAAACACCGCGAGGCTTCTGTTCCACTGGAATTTCTCTGATGGCACTGAGGGAGTCTCCACAACACTGATTTTGGAGGCCACGCCATGGAATTTTACAGGCCAAAGGCTTCTGTTACATTAGGCAAGGGACTATGAAGAAGGGGGTCTACTGGAGGGAAAAAGATACAGACTTATCAAAAGACCAGCCATCAAAATGCTGATGTGCAAAAGGGGTGTGGGGAGGCGGGGCGAGGAAGGGAGGGAGAGAGAGAGAGAAAGATTATACTTTAAAAAATCACCCATCTTACTTTTGATGCATTCTGTATAAAACTCTCATTTAAAGAAAGCCAAAGGCCCAGGGTAGGAGGGCTGGATGAGGGCAGGTGACTTAATTGCATACAAATAATTAAGGCATAGTAAGTTACTTTGAAAGGAGACAGATTTCCAAAGGTGGCTCCAAGCAAACTCAAGAAACTAGCATGCAACCCCTTGCTTAGCCCCCCAAGAGCTCACCCAGTTTAGACAGAGGAGAAATAAATAACCCATTTGCCCAGCTATCTGCAGAGGCTCTGAGCATCAGCTGCAGCTAACTTCATTGCATGGGTCATCGTCACGGGAGGCAGAGGTCACGGGAGCCAGAGGTCACAGGAGCCTGCATTAAGCGGGCCACCACTCCTGACCCACTGTGATTGTCTGCAGTGGAGGGACGAGGCTGCTCTGGTCAGTTCCGAGGGGGGTGGACTTTGTATGTCCTCATCACCAAGGAATTAAATGGATTTTGAGTTCCAAGCCAGGTGTGGGAGGTTAGGTAGAAGATCTGCAGGTCAATCTCGTTTTCAAGTGTTTTTCTTTCCTGTTGGGTGTATCTGGGCTGAAACATGACTAATTCAAAACTGAGCGTTTTGCACGGTGAGTATCAAGGTACTAACCAAACAGAGCAGGTCACTTCCTACTGCCTAAGGTGGTACCAAGGGGCCCTCTGCACCTTGAGAAAGACAAAGAAAGATGGCAGCCAAGAAAAGAAGTTGGGTCTTTTAAAGGAAACCTACTGACCCAGAAAGCTATTACAACAAAACTGAAATCAAATGTGAACTGGATCTTTAAAAAATAAGAAAGAAAAATCAACTGATTAAATCCCTCAATGGCCAGAGAGAACGGACTGGCCACTAACTCAGGGAATGAAGAGAAGACAAACCATGATCAAGCAGGGCCAAACCTGCAGACACAGACGCATGAGGCTTCCAGATGCACAAGGCTGGGCAGGTGAAAGGCTCCAAAAATTGCCCATTCAGTGGCCAAAGCTCAGTCGACAGGATTCGGGCGGGGGGGGGGGGGAGGAGGAGCTGCAGTCGCTGTCCGTGGTGCTGAACCACAACTCCCCAAGGCCCAGGCGTTTGCCTTAACCTGGAGAGACAGGATTGGTCTCCATCCTGTCACCCCCAAGAGAGAGAAGAGGTGGTGAGGGAGATAAGGGAGGAAGAGGAACTGGGGAGACAGATGGAGACTCTAGGAGAGGTGGCCAGGGAGAAGGGATGCAGGTTTTGATACCATTTGCAAAGAGCAGATTTATCAAAAGAGATTTTTCACCTCTTGGGAAGTCCAGTGCCGGGCACAGATCCATTAGGAAACTCAGCCCCAGCACCCCTCAGCAGTCAGAGGCTGCCCTGCGAACTGTCCAAGCATCTTTCTCACAGATGGGTGTCTCCTGGGCAAGATTGGCACAAAGTTTATGGCAATTCCAGGCATGGCGGGTGGGCCGGCCATCTCTGAGATGTTTGCTGGAGCCTTGGGCTTAAGAGGTGGGGGAGGCTGGTGTGGAGGATTTCCGAAAAAAAGGGACAGAGTAGACAGTGGCTGGAGACCCCAGAGGTCTTGGAGATTCCTGGGAATGAGCTTAGAGTTGGCAAGAAAAGAAGAGGCGAGGCAAGCCTACACTGGTCACCTGGCATCCAGCATGTCTGTCCAGAGTTCCTGGCCTAGGGGACTAGGAGGCTCCCCTCCAGAAAAGGACTTTTAGCAAGACTCTCCTTTCCTGCATTTTGGACCTAGAAAAAGCACCTGGTCAGGTAGAACTCGGGGGAGGGTGGGTAGAAAGAAGAGGTGAGAAGAAACAAAAAGTACCCCTCATTCACATGTTTGCTCTGAGGCCAACTGGGGGTAGTTCTTCCATGCCAGCAGCTCAGGTCGCATTCAGAGAAGGACTTTGGAGAAAGTCTTGGGGTATGTCTGATCTTTGAGAGAAAAAGGCACTGCCATCTGGGCTGCAGTTTCTGAACCCTTGAGGCCAAGGGACAAAGGTCACCCCATAGACATCAGAGCTCAAATGAAAAGGAACCAGGAAAATGTACACAAGAGTGACAATGAGAATTTTTTAAAAGCTTAGGTAGGGATAAGAGAACCTGAGATGGTTGGATACTTCAAGCAAACTATTCACACACCTCTGCTCCTGCTCTTTAACGGAAAAACATATATACATCTCCAATTTCAAAGAAAGTTGGCTGGATTATTGCTTTATCACCTTCTAAAGCAAACGAAATATGACGTACGATGGAACAGGCCAGCTACACACACTGCCCCACTGGAAGGAGGAATACACTTGAAAGACCGAGGGTGGGTGTTTTGAAAGAATCTTCGAGAGGGAGAAGGATCTTGCCAAAAAAGCAATCAAACCCCCCAGCCTGGTGGTACTGCCTTGGGCCACGGTCACAGCAGGAAGTGAACAGTTGCATCTTCCTTGGGAACGTCCTTTCCAAAAAGAGCGGCCCTGGGGTGGGGGGAAGAGGCGCTTTCACGACTCAGAACCCAGGGAGACGGTCCAGACTTACATCTGTGTTCCTGGAGCTGCTGCAGGGGTCTAAAACGGGCAGAAATGCACATTTTTACGTTAAAAAAAAACCCACAAAACCGGCAGCATGGACATTTGTGGGTCGCCTGGCTTCTTTCCCAGCCGGAAGCGCTGTCCGGGGAGACAGTGCAAGTGCTCGTGGAGGGAGAGCCTGCCTGCCCCGATCCATCCGGGAGAGCCTGCCGAGGGGCGGGGGCCCTGGGCCGCGTTCTCCACCAGGCGTGCACAGGCGGGGACCGCAGCAGCGTGACCTTGTCTTCGGGTTCTTGCAGTTAAGGCTTGTTCATCAGACGTGGCAGCGTCCCCTGTCTGGAGAGGAAGGGACAGTCCTGGAGTCCTGGCCCTCCACCATTGAGCCTTTTCTGGTAATCCCCAATTCTCCCTCTCCTCCAAGCCACAGGCCAGGAAAGATGACTGTTTTTATTTTTGAAGGGTGGGATGAGAAAGGTGGTGGGCAGCTGGATACAGCAGAATGAAGGTAAGGTTTAGAATGAAGAATGAAGTCAGGGTTCCAGCCTCAGTGTCCTCAAATGGATTGCCGGAGGCTTAACTGAGATATCACGTGCACAGCACCGGATAACCACAGATGAACACCGGCTCTGATCCCTTCCCCAAAACGTTTGAGCAGAGATTTACTGGGGAATTTAGAAAATTTTTTGAATTTATTATATACATATATATAGAGAGAGATATATGCTTACATACATATATGTAAATATTATGTAACATATAATAGATACATATATATTAGGCAACACTGCCGTAATTAAGCACTTACAATAGGCCTGTAGCATAATGTATGGATATTCACATAAAGCCTAAATAGCATTGTAAGAATGCAGGTCAGGTTCTGTCACTAAGTGAGGGATGGAAATGCTTTGTTTTCGAGCCTTCTGGATTTCAGGTTTGTGGACAAGGGGTGGCGGGTCTCCTGGGCTGCTCGGAGCAGAGCTGACTTTTGCGGCGCTCCTCCCCTGGGGACTCACAGGCATCACTCCCGGTGCGTTCTCAGGGAGCTCTGGGGACAACTCGGGGACATGGGTGCGCTACCCCATTTTACAGATGGGAAAACTGAAGTTCAAGACGTTCAGTCGTTTGGGATCTACACCAGGGCATGTGTAATTGTTTGATTTTTTTTAATTTATTTTTTTCAGAGTAATTTTTAATGATACAAGTTGTAAAGGAATGTGGAAATTGGGGACCTTTCAGATTAAGCTGATCTTTGATGTTCCGCTTGTTCGTTTTATAAAGGGGGACTGAGAAGCAGTGAGAAAGGGCGGGCCAAGGGCATGAGAGCAGAGCCCACGCCCTGTGCACCCACCCCGGGCCGTCCAGCTGTGTTTATTCCCTTACAAGGAAGCAGTTGATCACCATCCTCTTTACAGGAACCCAGAACCCCCTCACCCAAGTTTCCCCTTCTCTATCCTAGGCTACAGCACCCTAAGGCTCTGAGCCTTTGCCTCCCGGCCCCAGTTTCCTGCTCCTCGGACTGCAGGCTCTGTCTGGGTCTCCCCTCAGAGCCCCTCATACCTGCTCAAGCCTGATTCTCATACAGGCTTTGCCTCTTCTTGGATTTCAGCTCCTTTAGCCACTGGGGAGAGGGCTCTTCTGATCTGAAACCACAAAGGCAGCGGGAGTCACGTGTGAGCCTGACCACCTGTGCAGAAGTGGGGGCTGAGCTGCACCCACCCTGGAGGGCTCAGGGACATTGCTGACCTGGCTGAGGTTGGGGTGGGGGTCTGTGAGGAAGGAAAGGTCCTCTGGGCAGATAGGGGTCTGGCCACCCCAAGCAAGCCTTGCCTGATGGTGGAGGCTTAGAGCAGGCCTCCTGGTCTGGGGGGGCCCCTCCAGCCCTGGAGAAACGCTGGAGCCCTCCGTGGACTCCAGAGCAACTCCAGCATTCCCAGAGCAATAGAGGCACCATCTCAGCCACCACCTTGTCTCTCTCTCTCAAATTCCTTCCCTTCTGCTTCCCATAGCCCACTCTGTGTTCCGATAATTCACCCTGACTGCAGTGCCGGATTGCACCAGGCCTCTGGGCCTTTGCACGTGCTGTGACTGTGGCTACCTCTTTGTCTGTCATGACCCAGCTCGGGGATCCCCTTCTCTTCGAAGCCTTTTCCACACCTTTCCTCTTCAAATCTGGGTTATGAACCCTTCTTCTGAATTTCTCTATCACAGGGAGTCAGAGAGTCAGACAGTAAGCATTTTCAACTTTGAGGGTGTCTGTGTCAACTAGTCAAGCCCGTGTTTGTATCAGGGAAGTGGTGGCAGGCAATCCTTAAATGATGGCTGTGTGTCAGTAAAACTTAATTCACAAACACAGACAGTGGGCTGAATCTGGCTTGCGGGCTATGGTTGGCCAACCCTGCTCTACTGCAGCACTTATATCACAATGGCAGTACCGTGAACGACCCCTAAATTCTACGTGTTCACGGTACTCACAATACGAATTCCACTTTCCTTGACTGAGCGCATCCACAAGCCAGCGCCAGTGCAGAGGGCTTTACACATGCTTCCTCGTTTCATCCTCGTGACCACCCCGGAAGGCGAGGATTAGCCAACCCACTTTGCAGATGAGGAAACTGAGGCGCAGAGAATGGCTCTGAAAGCCGCACAGCTGGGATGAAGCCCCAGCTGTGTGATGTTAGAGCTGCGCTCTTTAACCTTCACCGCCAGCTGCTGCCCCGGTCTGGGCTGGGCTCATCTGTGCGGGGAGCAGGCCTAGTCTGGGAATGGGGCAGCTTCTTCCCCAAGGGCGGCTGGATTAAGTTTATCCTGTTCACCCGGCTGTGCCCGTTGGTCCCTCTTCCCAGGTCTCCTCACTCCTCCTGAGACAGAGGCCCTTCCCTGCAGGGTAAGAGTGGGGAGAATGCCTCAGTTTCCCCATCAGTCTGGAGAGGGCTGGACTGGAGCAGTAGTTTTCCAACAACAGGGCCCTGGACATCCGTGTAGGGTGTGAAGGAAAGGGGGAAGGACTGGGGCCCGCTGGCCTGATTCCTCACCCCCTGCCCCAGGCTTGTGTGTGTGTGTATGTGTGTATGTGTGTGTTTTAACATTCAATTTCTAAAAATTTAATTTTATTAAAAAAAATTTTTTTTTGGCTTGTGTTTTGGGGGAGGGTGGTAATTAGGTTTATTTAGTTTTTTTTGGAGGTGCTGGGGATTGGAACCCAGGACCTTGCGCATGGTTACACACACACTCTACCACTGAGCTACACCCTCCCGCCCCAGCTTTGTGTGTCTGTAAGATGTCAGAGGGCCCAGAGCTTACGTGAACGAAGTTCTACAATGAGAGAAAACACAGAGGTGAAACTCATTCCACCCAGCACCAGAACCCAGGCAAGCCCCTCCCCAGAAGTGCAGCCTGAGTCTCAGCCCCAGGACCCCTCACCTCTCGTCCTTGTCCACACTGGAGGGGAGCACACGACTGCCCAACCCTCCGGGCTGGAAGGGCGATTTCGGGGTCTTGGGCTGGGGGGCCCAGCCAGGGGTCTCGCTGGGACTGTCCGCCTCTGGCCTCTTGTGCAACTGGGCCTGGAGAGAGAAGACAGTGGAGTCTGTAAACCACCTTTGGTCTGGGGAAGGGTCCCATCCTATGGTACTGTCACTGCATGGGGACGATGGGGCTCCTGGCATCTGAGTGGACCCAAGCAGCAGACACAGGGGCAGGGGTAGACGCTGCTTGACCTTGGAGGCCATAAAAAAATCGGAGGTCAGGCTTGTGGTCCAAGCACCCATCTTTGACCACTGGGATCAACCATCAAAAATCCACATGATCACAGTATCTTCGGCTGAAAGGCCACCATTACCCCGTTTGCTTTAGTTTCCTGAGCACCCAAAGTGGAGACAGCAGCCGCATCTTACAGGCGGGGCCCAGCTCTATTAAGCTCCTGGCTCTGTGAATACAAGTAAAGTGAGGTTTCTGACCATCAGATTCCCATGGGGAAAAGGCAGGGTGGATTCCACCATTTCTGGAGGGCACATCGGGAATGGAATGACTCAGAATGGTGTGCACGGATTCCTTTGGGAGCCCAGGGGTGTGGCGGTGGCAGGTGGCACCTGTCTCCGTGGCAATGCTGGCCCAGCCCCCGGCAGTAGCGGCCATCGCCACCGTCCACCTGAATGCTTCTGTGCACTGGGCCCCTGTCGTCTGGACTCCGCCAGGCGTGAGTTATAGGACACATGGCTTTCTCCATTTGATAGAGGAGTAGCTGAAAGGTCAGAGGTCGAGCAGTTTGCCCAAAGTCACACTGTTTTCAAAAACTGGGATCCTGCCCAACTTCAACCCCAGGGCTCTTCCCAGGAAGAGCCTGGGAGCCTCTGCCCCATCCCGTGAGCAGGGCCTTCCTCTGCCTGCCGTGTTAGGCTGCCCTGGAAGACAGCCTTTGTTCTGATGCTTAACAAAATAAGCCAGAAAACCTCTGGGCCGGGCCAGTGGCCGCAAAATGTCCACGTTTCAAAGGCCTGTAAAGTCAGTGACAGGGAAAAGCGTGCATTCTCTGCCTACTGATAGTTCATTCTTGCTGGAAATGACCTGAAAAGCAAAGCCGTGGCAAGTTCGTGGCCCCCGACGGGAGGCTTCCTGATCGGCACAGTGTCAAGCTGAGAAATTCCACAAACAACCAGCTTCTTTGTTTTTGTCTCTTCTTCAGTAAAATAGGAGTAAAGGGCTGCCTTTCTTCGGGCTGCTGGGGCCCAGAAGAGGGGGTAAAAGAGGCTTCCCCCAACTCAGTACCCCCCGCATCCCCAAGCTGTGTGAGATGCTTGAGGGAGCTGAGGGTGGGGAGAGGGGAGACAGCCCAGCCCTGCCTCAGGAGCCCACAGTCCAGTCGGGACTGCGGTGTCATTCAAGAGAGTGTGATGTGGTTCTAGCGCTGGACTCCCACGTCCTTTGGAATCAAAACAACCATTTTCCCTGTCTACCCCCTACCCCCGCCCCCAGCGCCCCGGATTGCTCAAGGACAGAAGGCTGGGTTGGTTCCCTCCTGCTTCCCCGGCATCTGGCACCGGGCAAGATGCTTCACGCGGAGCGCAGCCCCCTGCACAGATGCGGACATCGAGGCTGACCTAGGAGACCGAACCAAGCCGCAGGTCTGGGGGCTGAAGAAAGACAGAAGGTGGAGATTCAGAAACAGGGGGTCACTAGAGAAACGCACATAAAGTCAGTACTACTGTTCACAGCACCGGGCCAAGGTCAATGTCCTGGCCTGGTAACGTGCCATGGTCACGGAGGGCACTAGCACTGGGGGAAGCGGGCTGAGCAGGGCTACACAGGTCCTCTCTCGCTCTGTTTTTGCAATTCCTCGGGACTCTTCGACTATTTCAAAAATGAGGCAGGGAGGAAGGGAGGGAGGAAGGAGGGTGAGAAATCCGGGGCCTATGTGTTCTGCAGCCACTGAAGAGCACAGCTCTGGGCATGAGGTCTGGTACCTTCAGTGCTGCCGGGTCCACTCCTGGAAACACAGGCATCCTCTGGGGTCGGCTGACGGGTGTCCTCTCAGCCCTGGGTGGCTTCTCCTCCTCATCTGACTCTTCTTTCCTGGGGGATTTCTCCTCTGTTGCAAAGAAAAGGGCACTGAAGTCACTGGGAGCCACCGTTCTGGGGCCTCTGTGCCAGATCCTTTGCACAGACAATCCCTCATGCAATCCACACAACGGCATCATCAGCCCATTTTACAGATGAGGACAAACTCAGGTGCCTTATGGTGGACAGTAAGGCAGGGTGGGTCTGCTCCTGGGAGAGGCCCAGACAGACCCAGCTCCTGGGCTCCTGGCTCGTTCCAGGTCAGGGAAACAGAAGGAAATCTCTGACAGAAGCAGGGAAGGAGATGGAAATGCTTTCAGCCAACAACATACGGGGGTCATGGTCTTAGAAGAGGATGGGGAGGGCTTCGTGTGTCTTGCAGACAGGCTGCCCAGAGTTGGACCAGGAAAGCACTTTTCATCACTGGGACTTGACCCCGTCACTGTGCAGGTGAGACTTCTGGGTGATAGACTGCCTGGCCCACCTCTTCCAGGAGTAAAGGGGGGGGGGAGCCAACCTCCTGGAGACCCGGCTGAGGGCTTACGCACAGTGAGAGGAGGGAGAAGGGGGCGGGGATGACCAAGGCAAGGCTGGGTCCTCTGGAGCCCCCAGGCCAAGTAAGGACTTTGGCCACGTTCACAAGGTGTATCCCCCGGCTTTCCCCAGCTCTTGGCCAGTTCCTCAAGGATGCTGGGAACCAGAAGGCTGCTGTTACACTCCAGCTGGGAGTAATTATGTGCTTTTGCCCTCACTCTGGTCTTTCCTTGCTCCAGGCAGCTCTGTGGAATTTGGTTCGGAAAACCAAGAACGTGTGCAGGGAGAAGTCTCAACCTAGATACTTAAACCTTTCCTTTAATAACAGACATGAGATGGGAGTGTTTTATCTGGTCAGTAGCTACACTCTTCACCCAGCCCAGAGCCTGGCCTGATGCCCTGCTATTTGCCACGAGCAAATCGCAAATGAACAAAAGCCCCTACAATGTAAACTAAAGACTGCTTATGCATAGAGCAGGGAGGTCACCGGCTATGGCTGCCATTCTTCTTAAACCCCTTCCCTGGCTCTCCATCTTCAGATCAAGTCTAACTCCTTAGCCAGGAATCACAACTCTCCATGAACCGGCGCTGCCTTTCTAACATGACTCCTGCTATCTCTGGCTTAGGCAACCCTGCACTGCTTAGACAGACCCCCCTCCCTGCCACACCTGCAGAACATTCTTTCCACACCTCTGCCCCTTTGATCCTGTTGATATTTCCATCTGGCTTACCCTCCTCTGGCTAATTCCTACCTATTCTTTAAGATGTGGCTCAGGTTTTGACAGGGGGTGCCGCCAAAGAAGTCCTTAGAGGAAAATGTATAGCCTGAAATAATTTATTAGAAACCCCAAAAGACTGATAATAAATGAACTGATCTTCCAACTCAAGAATCCAGAGAAAGACTGGCAAACAAATCCAAAGACAGGATAAGAGTGAATTTAATGAGGGTAAAAGCAGAAACAGTGAAATCCTGTGAAGTTGCGTCTCAGTTGCTTACAACCAACCTGCAGAGCCCCAATGAATAGATCACCCTCAAAATTTTTCTTCCCTAGTTTCCAATAAGCTCTTGTGCGATGAGAAAGCACAGTTTCCAATGTTGTTGTGTTCTAATATCCTGCAGCCTTCAAAGTCAGGCAGCTCTCCCCAGGGTTTAACCTAAATCCCCCTGCCACTCAGCGTGCTCTCTGTGGAGGAGATGGGGCATACCTGTGGAGTCCTTGAACATCCACGTGCTGTCAGCCTCCTCCTCCAGAGGAGACCTGCTCTCCGACTTGCTGACCCGGCTGCGCCGGAGGGAGTGGGAGATGGGAGCCCGGCGGCGGCTTCTCTTGCTGAGCTGCACCCGGGTCTTGAGGGCACTTGAGTCGAGGACTGAGGTTTGCTGTGGGAGCAGCAGGGAGGAGGAGGGGGAAAAGCATGGGAAACATTAAATGGAGGCAGCAGCCAAGGGAGGTGTGCGTAGCTGAGTCAATACACAAGACGCTATTTAGGTGGTATGTGGGCCGGCATTTCTGCATTTTAACAGGAACCTAACGCCCCGCGCCTGAATTTCTCTGTGAAACATACCACGTGTGCTGATTCCAGGAAGCAAATGAACTTGAGGGCCCCACCTGGTGCCTAACGCATAGAGGGCACACAATGGAGATGCTTTTCCCCTTCCTGATGACACCATATGGGCATGTGAGCTATGTAACATCATGTGAGCATGTATGTAACAAATGTTTGTTTGTTGAATGAATAAATGAACAAGTAATCTGGCTAAATCCTTACAACAACTATTCCACACAGGGTCCACGAGCTGAGCGGCTCTCAGTGTGGTCCTTCTTCTACCCACAATGCTTCAGGGTGCAGTTGGGGGGTGGGTAGAGCAACCTGCTAAGTACTAGGCATTGGTTTTTAAGCATCACAGTCTGAGCAGAAGCAGGTGGAGAGTCAGTGACGGTTTCCAAGATCGCCACCTTTCGCACTGAAAGGGTTGGGGGCAGACCACCCAGGTGGGCCCAGCAAGGAGGTGGGGCAGCCACTGGTTCAGAGACCTCCCAGGAGATGGAGCTGAAGGGCTTAGAGCTCTGGGTTCAAACCCCGCTCCGTTCAAATCCTAGCTGTGTGCCCTCAAGCAGGGGACTTGCCCTCTCTGAACTTGGGTCTCCCCGTTTGTAAAAGTGGACAGTGGGGATAGTACACCCGTCCTGGGGTGGCTGAGAGAAACCAGTGAGCCCAGGGTTGGCAAGTCCTGGGTCCCAGCAGCGCCCGACCGAGGCTCGGCGGGAGCTGTCCCCACAGGGCGCTTCTCTCTTCCCGGCCGGCTCAGGTCCTGGCAGGAAATGTCGGATTCTTCCTCTCACATCCACTTTGGAGAAATTCTGCTGCCTGGGGCTTTTTCAGTTTGCGATGATGAGCTAATTTCAGTGAATCATTTCCTGGAGTTGGTAAGTGACAGACACCCCACTGGGGACAGGAGGAGGGAGCTGATATCTGTACAGCTGTTTCCCAAACTGGCCACAATGGTGTCCAGTGCGGGGACCTGTGTGGGGCTGGTGGGAGCAGGGGAGGGATGGAAGTCACAAAGGGTGCACCGCCCCCAAGAGGACAGCACACATCTCCAGTTGTCACCAAATAGAGCCGGTGACTCAGATGAGGAGTAAGTAAGAGGGAACCACAGCAATGCAGGGGCTGGCCTGCGGGAGCTTGGCTCTGTTTTCCCAGGGCCGCCCTTGCAGCTTCAGGCTGGTCCCTTAGTGCCTCGTCCCACCTTTCAGCCCCCAAACGGCGCCCACGGGAGACCTGGGTATCACACAATCAGCTGGGCCTGTGCTTAGGGCCACTAGCATTTTCATCACTCAGTGGCCACATCTGTTCCCTGATCTGCAAGAATGGGACAGAGGGATTTTGCCTCTTGGGCTCAGCATCCTAGAAGGTAAGTCTAGAGAATTATGCTATGGCTCAGGATGACATCATACAAACATGTAAGCTAGAGCAATGCCTGGGACATAGCTGGAGTGCAATAAATGTTTGTTGAATGAATAACTGAACACATCACCTCAATAACTCCTTACACGCCACACTCTGCCCACATTTATATAGTGGGATGCCCCAAAGGAGACTGGACTTGTGTCTTTCCCCATCTCTGTCCTTGTCTAGAGAGGCCAGCAAGAGACCTTGAATGTATTTAGGAAGGGGAATCCCCTTTGAGGCCCTACAGGAAGCCCCTTGACCCAAAACAGTGGTGTCTCTTCTCTGGGGGGCATCTGTGTAGCCATTGCTAAGAGTGTGGACATGAGGCTTTACTTCAGAGAGAGGATCCATTTTAGATTTTGCATCATTTAGATGCTGCACCCTCAAGAGGGTAGGCAGATAGCCCTACTGTCAGGGAAGAAGCAAAATGACCCCCCCCCACCAATGTCTCAAGGACTAGAAAGGAAAACCTGCCTGACTCCTGCAGGGCGCCGCTACTGGTCTGGAAGAGGCGGGGGCGGGAGGTGGCTGGACCTGGGGGGCTGGCATCCTGGGGGGTGGCTTTGCATGGGAGACCTGGGAGAGCTGAATTCTGGGGGCTGCCCATGCCTGACGGGGGCTATCCCTTACAGAGACTTGGATCCCCTAGCTCCAGGGACATAGTCCCACGTGGCAAGACCTTGGCGAGAAGCCCCAGCAGAATTGGTGTGAGCCAAGTCCAGACTGCATGCCCAGCACTGCAGACCTCAGGCGGGCTCCCCGCCCCTAGGGGTGAGAAGCCACACTGCCTGCTTTCCTAACTGGTGAGGGCTCAGCTCAGTTTTAATCTGAACACATGTGACTGTGTTCAAAGCCTTTGAGCCCACCATTCTTTTATGAGTAGATGAGGAAGCCGAGGCTCAGAGACGTGAAGACACTTGCCCCAAGACACACAGCTGGTATGTGGCAGGTCCAGGCCACATGCAGCCATCAGGCCCATGTCGGACTGTGCCGTCTGCTCCCACCAGAGGGGGCCCTGGCACAGATTCTACCCCTGAAAGGGGCGATTCACTGGGAGACGCTAGAATGTCTCTTTAAAAAGAAATGACTGTTCCCAGCATGTGGTCCCAGTTACCGACTTACATCGATGAAGGAGAAGTCATCCACTGTCTTCACAGGGCAGGTGTCCAGCGGGGGCAGCCCCTCCGTCCCGTCTGTGGACTCCAGGTCGGTGCTCGATCGGTCCACGCTGGTGCTCCGCTGGTCCCTGGAGCAGTCGTGCTGGTCCCCAGCTGAAGTGACCTCCGTTTGGGAGGACAGGGAGGACAAACGGCTGCTGGGCGGCTGCTTCCGAGCCGATGTGGCACTGCTGTCGGGGGACGGGGACTCAGGGGCCAAGCTGCAAGAAAGGAAGGAAGGAAGGGAGACACGGTCAGGCAGGTTGTTTCAGAGAGCTGAATTTCAAGGAAAGGAAGCAGCAGAAAAAAGAGTGTAGGATGTGCTTTATACACCGGGAAACGAGACAGACAGAACATCCTGGGAGGAGAACCACTCCGAACACAGGTGGGTGCTGTGCATGCTGAACACCTGGACAGGTGCAGAGTGGGAGGAGTCAGTCCCGTCCCACTCAAGACTCTCTAACCCAGCACTGTCCCATACAGGAGCTGCTGGTCACATGTGGCCACTGGGCCCTTGCAATCTGGTGAGCGACAGCTGAGATGTGCCGTGGGTTCAAAATACACACGGGATTCCCAACACCTTGAGTGGAAAAAAGAATGTAAAATATTTCGTTCATAACCTGATATTGATTACATGTTAAAATGATAGTCTTTCGGGTCTATTAGGTTCAACAGAATACACTGTTGTTTTTTATTAAATCGAAGTATAGTCAGTTACAATGTGTCAATTTCTGGGGTCCAGCCTAGTGCAGCATACACTGTGAAAATGAATTTCACTTGTTTCTTTTTATTGTCCTTACGTGGCTACTGGAACGTTAAAACTGCATGTATGTCTTGAGTTTGCAGCTTGCGTTGTATTTCTGTTGCACAGCGCTGATGTCGATCAAATAATTACTAGCTGTCACCAGCAGAGGGGCAGGAGACGGGGAAGCTTCTGCTTTGCTTCCTTCCTTCCTTCCTTCCCTCATCCCTTCACTCCCTCACTGAAACGTACTGAGCGCTTACTACGTGCCGGGCCCTCTGCTAGGAACTGTCTCCACAATCTGATCTCCACAACCCTATGAGGTAGGATTAACTTCATGAAATGAAACATTAACCTCGCTGAAGATGAGGAAACCAAGGCACAGAGGCGTGAAGCGGCTTCCCCAGAGGGGAGGACCAGACTCCAGAACCCACGTCCATGACCCTCTCCTCCTTTCGGAATTTCTTCCCATGATAATGTATTCCCAGCGCCACTTGGATAATTGGAACCACACAAGATAGAAAATTTATAAACAAAGCAAGCCATTAAATTAAAGGCTCCCTGCTCCTCCCATTAAAAAGATTCCAAAGGCAAGAGTACAGGGGAGCCTCAGCCTGAGGACGGGGAGACGGGCACACCTGACACCACCTCCCTGATCGGCCCGGAAAGATCCCTGAACTGCACCCTGGGGCAGAACCTTCACGCCCGGTGTACTGATATTTCACTGCAGGCACACAGCTATGCTTTTTGTCAGCTCTGGGAGGATTTTACTATTTGGAATAGGCGAGATGTTGGGGTGTGGGGTGGAATTGAGGCAAATCCACAAAAAATGGGGGAAATGCCACTGAGGAGGCAGCAGGTGGCGCTGCTGCACAGGGCTGGGAGCACAGTGGCTCCTGGGCCTTTCCCAGGAGGAGGAGCCTCAGTACCTCTGGGAGACAGGAGGGGGCGATGCCAGGACAGGGGGGAGATGCCACGTCCCAGTGCCACCCAAGGTCTCACCTAGCTCCCTATCAGAGCTGGGAGGATGCAGCCTCAGAGGGAGAAGGGGAGTCCCAGAGTCACACAGGGACAGCAAACAACCCAGGGCCCAGGCTTCCAGACTCGCAGTCCAGTGCTCCCGCAGGAGCAGTCTAGTGAGATTCAAGTAAGCTTATCAACTAAACACAAATCACAGAGCTGCAAAGAAAACAAAAAGCCTCCAAAACAAAAAGGTACTGCAAGAAACCTATACTTCCCTTTCTCTTTTTCTTACCCATTTCCAATTCCATCAGCCTCCACCCAACTTTAGTATCAATGGCTGCTATGGGTCATAATCCAGCAGAGGGATGTGACTGCTCCTGACTAAGGCGGGTCAGGGGGGAGAGGGAAGAGGAGGGGAGACATGCGTTTGAGTCCAGCTCAGCCACCGACACACCGTATCCCCGGGCATGACACCCACAGATGAGAAAACTGAGTCACACAGTGACACAACTGCTGAGTGGCCATGCTGGGCTGACCCGGGAACCTCTGTTTCAAAAGACCATGTGATCCTGCAGCCCGTGGAGGGGGAAGGCGTGAGCTGAGAACACGACAGGTCCACCCCGGGGGTCCACAACGCTGCTACTGTGTTCAATCCCACCCAAGGGCGAGAAGAAAATTGTATTAAAAAGATGAACAGGTACAACGTATCAGGCTCCCCCTGTGTGCCTGGAAATATGCCAATGGCTGCACAGGTTACCTTCCTGACAGCCCCATGCGTCTCAGTCTTTGCCTCTGCAAGATGGGGTGATGGGGTTAAATGTTGTCTCAGTGCTTACAACAGTGCTTGGCCCATCCACTCAATAAATCCTGGCTGTTTTTACAAGCATCATTCTCTGTCTATGGAGGAGGAGTGTAGAATCTGGCAAACATAACTAATTTACCCAGGACCCCATGGCCAGTTAGGGTGGGGCTGGAATTCAGACCCACCTGTCTCCTGATCCAGGTGACTCTCAGTAATCTTCAGGCACCGAGTCATAATTTCCCTCCCAGTCAGGGGCTGGGACCTGAGGCGCCCCACAAGCTACTAATCAGGGTGATGTTAAATCAGACATGGCTTATAAAGCAATGTGTATCATATGCTCCTGTATCGGTAAACACACTCTATATACAGAAATCAGTCTAGAAAAACTCACAACAAAAGACATTAATGAAAGTTGTATCTGTGTGCTGGGGTTAGAGGTGGTTTTCATTTTCTTTGTAATTTTGTTTCATGACGGTAAAGCACATGTAACATGAATCTGACCGGCACCCTCCCAGAGCCGGGCAACCATCACCACCACCCTGTGGTCTAGAACATCTCCATCACCCGAAAAGGAAACCTGGTACCTGTTGAGCAGTCAGTCCCCATTCCTCCAGCCCCTGGCAACCATGAATATGCTTTCTCTCTGGATTTGCCTATTCTGGGAATTTCATATGTCATTTTTTAAAAATAATTTTTTGGTACTTTGTAAAAATTTCTGTTTTTACAAAAAGAACGGTTTACTCTTCCAGGTACAGACAAAACAGGTTCAACTTAGTCACATGGAAATCAGGAGGGGGGTGGGCCACACTGACTCCCACCCGGAGGCCCCGCCCCGCACACCCTACCTCTCCCCGCTTTGGTGCTGGTCCGTCCACGTCCCATACTGGCTGTCGGCTTCCTGCACGAGTGTGTCAGTGTCCTTGGCCTCAGGGGTCCGCCTGGAGAAACACTGTTTCAGCTGGTCCTGCAAGGACAAACCAGAGGCTTCCATCAAGGGAAAATGCTCGGAACGTGGTCCCAGCTGACATAAATCACATTGCATCGCCCCCAGCTCAAGCCCACCCCAGCTCTCTACTGCTCTCAGAAGTGGCCCCAGATGTCTGGGCTGGGGACTTGGGTGACCAGTAATCTGGGTTTTCCCAAGACACGCAGGATGAAGGACTGTCAGTAACAAAGCTGAGAATGAATACTGGGATGAAGGGGTCACCCTCCCGGCATGCAGCATCCTTCGTGGGTGCCACCCTACCCATGTGCTGCCCCTGCCAGGCCAGACTTCTCTCTATCTTCAATGCTCCCAGGACTTATCAGTCTGGTTGGGGTACTCCCCCACCCGTCCCCTGTCCCCGGCTTCCCCCGTCAGCATCACCCAGCACAGTTTCCATGGGGCACTGAACTTGTGCCCGGGGTTGACCAAGCTGTTTGCGTATCGCCTCGCTGAGCTGCGGTGCCATGGCAATCCCATGAGGTGGGGCTCATTATAATCCCCATTTTACAGTTGAGGACGTTGAGGCTTAGAGAGGTGAAGTGACATGCCCTAAATCAAACAGCCAGTAAATGGGGAGGTGGAACTTAAACCTGGACAGGGGGCTTGGAGTGCAAGCCTGGGTCCCTGGTTCTGTCACCACCTGTCAGTTACTGGTCCCTGGGCTCTAGGAGAGGATCCTGGTATCCATGGCACTGGCTGCAGGGCCCAGCCTGGTGCCTGGCAGCAGCAGATCTCCATCAAATGACCAAACTGCTGGCTTCCCCAATTTGTTCACTTGGAAACTAAAAGCCCGTTCCTGGTGACTGACTACTGAACCGGCCACCGCTTGGGCCCCTGCGTTATTGACTGGGGAGCAGCTGGAGTGCTCAAGGCAGAACCCAAACTCCCACCCTTTGGGTGGCCATTGGCACAAGAGCGATTAAATGGCTTTCACTTCTGAGCTTTGAAGGATGTTCCCAGCCACCATCTCTTGAAGACTTGGGGCCAGTGGATGAGGAATGTGGAGGCAACAGGAGGGGATGGGGGTGGGGGTGAGAGCAACTTTGCCCCAATTCCAGAAAAACCAATAGGATTATCCACTTGAGTATCCGTTTGAGGTCAGGAGGATATTCTGTTGGAATATGCTTCAAGTGTGCATCTCCTGCTCAAAAACCTTCGATGGCTCCCTATGGTCCTCCTGCTAAGATCCAACACCCCTACAACTGAGCCCCAAATTTCCTGTCCAGTCCCATCTCCCACCCCTGCCCCCAAATGGGTCCTCCATCCCACCTACCCCGAACTACCCACCGCATCCCATGCAGTCCTCACAATTCCAGCCTCTGGCTTTGTTTGTGCTGTCCCCCCTTCCTCTCCATCCTTCCCCTCCGAAGCCACAGCAACAGCCCACAGACAGTGGTCTCGCCTTCCCCTCAACTCCTCCTGCCCACTCTGGACTCGTTGTACCAGGTAAAGTTGATGTATAAGTTATTTACACAACAGACATTTACTGAGCACCTACTATGTGCCAGGCACTGGGGAACCGGGAGTGCAGGTCACAACAAAGACAAAGCCCCTAAGATTCTGTGACTCGGTGGAGGCACCCTTTAAGATCGGCCGCTCCATCATCTTTGCTCTTCAGCCAGAGCCTGCCTGGCACCCAGTAGGTGCTTAGTGGAGGCGGGCTGACTGTCCCTTCCTCCCAGGTAAGGGGGGCACCCCTCTTTGCAGCTTCAACGGAATCATCCTTAGTGGAGCAAGTATAAGTGGTCCCGCAGAATGAGCATGCGCCTCGGGGAGAAAGCTTTGCTGTGTGACCTCAGGGCTTTTGTCTCCCTCTCTGAGGCTGGTGGCAAGGATTCAATGAGGAAATGATCATCACCCCAAGGGCATGTTTGCAGCGAGAGGATCCATGTGACAGCTCCCAGGGCCTGGCATTCAGGAAACACCCAATAAATGCCCACCCCCTTCCCCATTCTCTTTCTCTCACCTTTTGGGGACAGTTGCATACCCCATGAGGTCCGGGAGGATGCTGTGGGCAAGGTGTGCAAGGACCCCCAAGAATCAGAATAAACCCCTCAGTCACCTTGGGTAAATGGTCACACTCACACGCCCTCATTTCACTGCCTGTAGATTCCTTTTCTTGTTCTGGTTACCAAAATCACACATGCACATTGTAAAATGTTTAGAAATTACAGAAAAACACAAATAACATTTTCAAATCACCCATCATCCAGTGACCATATTCTGGCATAATCCTGCCCAGAATTTCCTCTGGATCAATTCATCCAGACCACCATTGTTAACGGTTGAAGACTATTCCACTGCCTGGACGCAGCACTGTTCGTTTAACCAATCCCCAAGTGTCGGGGCATTTAGGCTGCAGATGATTATTCACCGTTTAAAAATTTTTTTTCCTTTTATTCTGAAGGGGGGGAGGTATTAATTAATTAATTCATTTATTTAGCGGAGGTACCGGGGATTGAACCCAGGACCACATGCATGCTAAGCATGTGCTCTACCACTGAGCTATCCCCTCCCTCCCTTGTTCACTGTTACAATCAACAATATGATGAGCATCCTTGGGGCTCGAGTGACACATCTCTGCTTGTTCCCCACAAGAGAGCTCCCTTGGCAGAGAATCACACGGTTGAGGGGTAGCGTGTGTTAAAGGCTTTGGCTCCCGATGAGGGAGTGAGCCTTAGGACGGTCGTGCAACCTGCAAGCCCACGGTAGTGCGCGGGGCTGGCTGTTGGCATACTTGAGGGATGAAGTCAGTCCCCAGCTGGGGAACCTTGGATGTTTTCGCCTTGAAAGGTCGCCTGACATGCTCAGATGCCTGCCCCCCTTACGAGAATCGCCCCCTGAGACCCAGGAGTGGAAGTGGTCCTCTGAGTTCGCTCCCAGCTGCTTACTGTTTTCAAAGATGTCACAGAATCAGTCACTCCCTAACTCAGTCCTCCACTTGGGTCAGAGCTGAGGGCCAGGGGTCAGGGCCTGGGGGGTTGCTTCCAGTGGCCTCGATGTCCTTGTCCCCAGCCTTGTCCTCAGCCGCGAGCTGGGTGCTGAGCCTGTGGCCTGGGTGCTGAGCCCAGCAGGAGGCAGAGGGGTGACTGCTCAGGGACAGCTTACAGCCCGGGGTGTGGAGGCGGAGGGTTGCTGTCTCTGCCCCAGCTGGGTGGCCTGGCCAAGGGACCCCACCCACTCAGGTCTCAGTTTCCTCAATGGAAAAAACAAGGCTTGTTTTGAGGCTTCAAGGAGATAATCCCTGGAAAGCACTGAGCTTGGAGCCTCGCACGTCACGTCACAGGTGCTCAGGAGACAGGAGCCGGTGTGATCAGAGCTACGTGCACGGCCCTCCCCAGAATCGGGCAGGAGAAGGACCCCGGGCAAAGTGTGATTCTTCTTGGGCCCTCAGAACCCTCAAGAGACAGGGCTCTCTCAGGGCTGAGTGACGGCGGAAGGGATCTGCAGGTGGGGCCTCTGGAAATCAGAACGGCAAGTCCTGTAGGATGCCGAGTGCGGAATCAGGGCGGGAGGCGGGGGAAGGCTTCCTGACCTCCTTTGGACGGCTCTGGGTGGCAGGGGGCGGGTAGACAGACGGTGCTCGGCAAAAACACACTGGCTTCCATGCATTCCCAGTCGTGGGCCCTCCTGCAGAGGTTTAAGGATTCATGCTTAGGGATCTGGAATCCCTGGTGGCTTGTCCCTCCACCGCCTATGGCCAGACTCGGGGTGTGGAGGGCAGCATTCTTCTAAAGACTTTCTGAAAGTCAGGTTTTTAAATTATCTATACGGCAAGGTGTTCTTCCAATTTAGTGTCGCCTGGCAGGCTGCTATAAAAGCCCTCGCTGTCTGCAGGCCAGTAGGTGTCTGCAAGGTAGTCTGAAAACACACGAAGGACTAAAGAGAAGAGCTGTCTGAGGAACACCTGTCCAAGTTAGTCCCCCATCGGGTCACACGCTGGTTCTTGACTTGCACCCTTGACAGAGATCAACCACCCACAGTCCAAATTTCAGTTGTCAGTTGTCTCATGAAGTCATCACATCTTAAACATGTAGCTCTCCAAGGACCCTTGAGTCCATTCAGTTGAACTTTTTAAGATGATAAACTTTTTCAGATGATAAGCTGTGGCTCAGGGACAGGGACAGCTCACGGTGAGTGAGAGGCAGAGCCGGGGGGACTAGAACCCAGCTTTCTGGGCCCCTACCTCAGGGCTCCTTCAGCTTCCCCCACATTTTCCAGGATGCTTCAAGAGACTCAGATGAGGAGTGGGGAAGGTATAGTTCAAGTGGTAGAGCACATGCGTAGCACGCATAAGGTCCTGGGTTCAATCCCCAGTACCTCTGTTAAAAAAAATAATTAAATAAATAAACTTAATTGCCCCCCTCAAAATTTTTTTAAGAAATTAAAAAAAGAGACTCAGATGACGAAATGCATATTAAAATGCTCTTTAAAAGCCTCGGGATCTTGGCAGGTTTAAAAACCGCTTGCTGGGACTAGCTCACCAAGCCCCAAGCTGGTGGTGGGTGGAAATTCCGGGCTGTCGTCTTGCAGGTAAACATGACTGCCTCACACCAGGACCTACGATGGACAGCTCTGTGACACCCAGGCTGGGGAGACCAGGCTAACAGATGCCTCCGAGGGACGTGCTTAAGCTAGCTGCAACACATGGTCCCGAAATTTAAAACGTGCATAACCTCAACTCAGCAATTTCAGTTCCAGAAATTTATCTCAAGAAAATCCTTGGACATGCTCACCAAGATCTACAAACACGGACACTTCCTCCCAGGAGAGCAAATACTGCAAAATATTAGAAATATCATTGCAAAATAATAGAAATGACCAATAAGACAGGGACTGGTGAAACACAAGATGGTCTATCCACACGATGGAAAATAAATGCAGCCCAGGAAAATGATGGTCGGAAGGAGCATTCACTGTCGCAGAAAGATGTCTGCCCTATATGAGCAAACGTTAAAAAAGAAAAAGAAGAAAAACAA